TCCGACGTTGGATGGCGATACAGATGGAGACCCATATTGGAGCACCGGACTGAGCACTCCACGGTCCTAATGAGGAGCAGAAGGATGAAGAAAATAAAAAAAAGTAATCAGGACTGCGAGGGATGCGAGCACCCACTGATACAAGGGGACTGATATAATGAGAGTTCACCAAGGCCTGTTGGACTGGGACTGAACGAGGACGTGATCCAACCAGATTCTCTGAATGTGGCTGGCCCAGAGTCTTTCTGAAAAGCCATTGACAATGACACTGGGACTTGCTTCCTCTGCATATACTGGATTTTGGCGATCCAGTCTGTTTGGACTCTCACCTTCCCTGGACCTGGAGGGAAGGGGGAGGAACTTGAACTTCCCATAGGGCAGGAAACCCTGACTGCTCTAGGGGATGGAGAGGGAGGAGGAGAGGGAGTGGGAGGAGTGGGAAGGTGTTGGGAGGAGGGGCTGAAATGGAAACTTTTATAATTTAATAATAATAAAAAAAATTACTATCCTACATGTGCGCTATGTCTCTCTCGGTTTTTGTATCTCTCTCTTTTTCTTTTCACACTCACATACATAAATAAACACACAGGCACTCATCAGCACACATACATACAAACATACACACTGTGTGAATTGTTTCCAAAGGAACTTATTAAAACCAATTAATAGCCAAACAAAAAAAGTAAGGGTGCGTGCTTTTTATTTTCTTTTTCACACTCACCTGTATTTCACCAGTTTTGTATATCTGCTATCTTTTAATAACAATTTAAGATTTATATAAGGGGGGACCTGACAATCACAGGCTGTATATCCCTTTATCATGCTAACACTATGTTGGGACTTACATGCAGAGCTACCTTAATGTCAACAATTATTCTTCCTGTCATTACCTCACAAATAGTGGCAGAACAAAGATGATATGTCAAGGACCTTTTGGGAATGTTAGTTCCTAAAAAAAATTGTCTGAGTCAGGTTTCAATAATAGTATTGACAAATAATTACTAGAATATCTACTGCTATCTCACGTTATTTTTGGACTCCTCTCGGTTTTTTGTTTGTTTGTTTGAGATAGAGTTTCTCTGAAGCTTTGGAACCTGTCCTGGAACTAGCTCTTGTAGACCAGGCTGGTCTTAACTCACAGAGATCTGCCTGCCTCTGCCTCCAAAGTGCTGGGATTAAAGGTGTGCTTCACTGCTGCCCAGCTCAGATCGCAGATTCTTAAAGAAGCATTTGTTTTCCTCCACCAAGTGCTATCTAGACAACAGTGCTGTCCACGAAGGGCTGGAGGAGATTGTATCCACCCACAAGAATAAGTGAATGTATTTATCAATTGGTCCTACTCACTTGGCATTTGAAACTCAGAATCTTGCTTTTGTTTAATTTCTATTTGGTTTTCTAAACTTGGTCATTTTTCTTAGAATTGTAAGGAGGGACACTAGCATATTCCTAACAAATGTTTCTGGCCATTGACCTGACTGCCTAGTGGTGAGACAGTGAGAGAGCAAAACTGGAGAATCCTCCTAAATGTGCCAAAGCCAAAGTGGAAGGGAAAGTCAATTATAAAACATACTACAGACTCTTGTTCTCTGGCATCAAGGTTGTCATGGAGATTTTTCTAATAATTACAGGCCTTGTTGCCATGGCATTAATTCTTAACTTTCCCCTGTTATCTATTATGACACCAGATTGTAACTCTACTGACCTTGGAGGCATTTGATCTCCAAAGGACAATAGGGATCTTCTAGTGCCCAGATTTTAATTTCTAGATGGCAATCTTGAGTTCAGAGATGTTAAGGGAGTCTCCCAAGATAGCATAGCTAAATAATAACATAGCTTGACATTGATAAATATTTATGCAAAAAATATAGATAGTTTATATAGATTACTTTTATAGATATGCATGCACATTTTCTCAAATATCTGTTGTGAATCAATCAATACAGCACTTGTAATGGACCTGAAGCATATTCACTGTATACAGGAAGAAACAAAGGCAATAAGCTATCTACCATTTCATGACAAGAAACTGAAGTTCAGGATAGAGAATGATCACAACCTTTGGTGTTGGTATCATAAAGTAAAATTTGCATTGAGGACTGACAAGATGCTCATTCAATGAGTTTGCTTGTATCAAGCTTAAGACCTGAGCTTTTGTGAACACATGATGGGAAGAAGAAACTCACTTCCAAAGTTAGCCCTCTGTCCTGCACACTGACACACATGCATGCACAGATGTACACACACACACACACACACACACACACACACACACACATCATTGAGAGAGTAAGGACAGAAAGAGTATAAAAAGTCAGTGGATGGGAAGGACCATTTTAAAGCCGTGTTGTCTGGAAATGACATGCCCATTATGTACTCATAGCAGCTCTAGTTACCTGCACAGATCAAACTAGTCAAATTTCAGCATAGATGGGGAGACTCAAACAAGCAACCCCTAGCTAAAGAGCTTTAGTAGCTGGAGGATCATGAAACTCAGTTTCATTCAAGGAAGTGTTCCCTGAGAGATTGCCCACAGATTGGCTCTACAGTCATACCTGTATAAATGTCACTGACTGAATGCAATGGAGAATACAAAGAGAAAATGAAGGGAGACAGATGTTATGGGGGAAGGTCTGAGAGAACTTAGAGGTGGAGCCAGTGGTTGGTACTGTCAGAATTTATTACAAACATTGTGAAACTCTCAAATAATGAGTAAGGAAGGGCATATGTCAAATTCAGGAAATGAAAGGGAGAAATTATATAATTATACTCTCAAAAATAAAAATATCTAGTGAATCTGTAAAGATACCATGGAAATATAATGGCACAGTTACTAACCATTTTGTCCAAATCTAAGCAGGATGGTAAACCACTGCTCATTGTTATCTATATACCATGGTCCTGTTTTAAACCAGAGACATAGAACCATAAATTTATGTCTGACTTGAGATTACTGGTCAGAGATGACAACTCAGTTTGACTAATTATGTGAAACCTCTCCAGGTGTTCTTTGCTCCCTAAATATTGTAAGAATTCTCTTGAGAATATATAAATAAAAATACCAGCAGCAAACTAAAGAAATGATTCCATCCATGCCGAACTTTCCGAACCAATAACTTTATTACAAAATGGTATAATTTTCCATAAAAAATTCATACCAAAGAATGATTAATTCTTGAACAGTGTCAACAATGATTCCATTTCTCCAGCATATTTGACTAACAAGCAACTGCCTTCCCGGGAAGTTCCAGTCGCTAGTCAGCCTATATACTCCAGAAAATAAACCAATCACATGTAATGTTATATGAAACTGAGGGAAAACAGACTGATTACTACAATCTAAGATATGGGTCTTGTGAAGCCCTGTCTCAAGACAGAAGTTTAGTTGTATTTTTGATTGTTTGTTTATGTGTTCACTTGATTGTGGCATAATCTATTACTGTAGCCCAGGCTGGAATGAAACTATGTGGCCCTGGTTGGCCTAAAGCCTGTGGAAATCCTCCTGTAATCTTCTTCTATTTGTTCTTCTCTCATATATTACATCTTTACAGCAGGTTTTTCCTCCCTCCAGTCATCCCAATCACCCCCACAAACTCCCTTCTCCACCACATCCACTTCTCTGTTCCTCTTCAGAAAAGACCAGGTCTTCCAGGGTTATCAACCAAACATGGCATAACGAGCTATTATTATAAGACTGGGCACATAACCTACTGTCCAGGATGGGCAAGGCAACCCATAGAAGGAAAAGGTCCCAAAATCAAGTAAAAGAGTCAGAGACAGGTCCTACTCTTACTGTTAGGAGTCTCCCAAGAACGCCAACCTATACAGACATAACATATATGCAGAGGACCTAGCCCCATAATGGTTTTCCGACTGTCACTTCAGTCTCTGTCAGCTCCTATGAGCCCACCTAGTTAATTTTGTGGCCAGTGTTCTTGTTACCCCTGACTTATTAATGCTGGGAATATACATGTAAACCACTCCTCTAGGCTCAGGAAGAATACTAACATTCTATCATTTTCATTTCCATAGACATGTTTATCACTGCACTGTTGCAAATATTTAATTCCCAAGATTGTGAATCAAGCTATTGTATAAGGCAATTCTGCTTCATGATGGTGAAGGTCACCTGAAGAAAACAGGTCCTGTACAATACCGGGTAATATCAGCTTAAAATTTTAGTTATTATACTACAACCTTTATATCACTCTCTTAAAAAACATACAATGATAGGACACAAGTATTGAACATACATAGACAATTAGAAAGAATATTCCAGTGTGTCATGTGTTGTTAATCTCAGCAATGTTGAAATGTCTAATGACTATAGTACAATGAATTCACACAAGTCTTTGAAGACCAAATTTGAGTAGTTGCTGAAATACCAGTATATATTTTATACCGTGATATGATTGGCTATGGTGACCAGGGCAAATTTCCTGGTGTGATATAGAAGAGTAAGAAAGAGTTCAGGGTTCCTTCCTCTCATGTCTTGCTATTAGTCTATGGAATAGTGCTGTAGATCATATATTTTCAAAATGCCATAAATCAAACCATCAGAATACTGAAGAACTGACACTGAAGAAAGCCTGTCTTTTTTACCAGTTTTTTTCATGATTCAAAGTCCCACTATTGTGTTTGACGTAAAGTTTATTAAGTGGCTACTAGTGATCAAAATCAAGCTGTTTCTGATTGGTCCACCTAAAAGGCACAATAAAGCCAATGTGCAGCTTCATTTCTTTCAAGTGGGAAGTTTTGCTATGATCACTCTCACCTGATCAGTATTACAGAAAAATCAATGGTCATGAATTTGTCCTAATTATACTACATCAAGATATTCATGAGACAAGGTTGGTGGACTCTGGGGTCAACAACGTTAGGAATGTTCTCTTGATGGGTAGCCTTGTAATTGAACAGTTTCAGACTTGCACAAGTTTCTCAACTTGATATGCCTCAAGCACACATAGACAGAATAACTAATGATGCGACAGCGATTTTGTAACAAGGAAATTATGACCAAACTGGTCCTAAAAATGACGCATTTCCATGACATCAAATCAATTGTTGGTTTATATTGGCATGTTGTCTACTTCAAAGACACATTTATCCAAAGTGCCATGGACTTTGTAGTGTTCCAGTAATGTGTACATAATTGCAAATAACAGAAACTCTGACATGGCATTGTGTTGAAATCTTATCTGTGACCTTGGCTAAAGATTGTCTTTTTCTGCAACCTCTTCATGGCATCTTTGATTTCTTTGTTCCTCAGACTGTATATCAAAGGATTCAGCATGGGAATCACCACAGAGTAGAAGACAGATGCAAATCTGTCCAAGCTGGAGGAGCCACCAGAGCTGGAACGCAAATAGACAAAGATACCAGAACTATAGAAAAGGAAAACAGCTGCCAGGTGAGAAGCACAGGTGTTAAATGCCTTAGACCTGCCCTTAGCTGAAGTGATCTTCATGATGGACACGACAATAAAGCCATAAGATACCATGATGGCTAAGGCATTTGCAAGTCCAAACAACAGTGTTAATAAAGCAAGCAGGACCTGTGCAAAGGAGGTGTCTGTGCAAGACAGATTTAACATCTGTGATATGTCACAAAAGAAATGTCTGATGACATTAGGGCCACAGAAGTGGAGCTGCAGCAAGACACATACCTGAGATAAAGAACCTATAAGCCCTGCTGTGTAGCTTCCCATCACCATGCGAGCACACAGGGTGGGTGACATGATTGATGAATAGAGTAGTGGGTTACAAATGGCAGCATACCTGTCATAGGCCATGGCTGTCATGAGACAACATTCACACAGTGCCATAATGGAAAAAATGAAGTACTGAACTATGCAGCCCACAAAACTGATTGTTTGGTTTTTCTGAAAGAAGTTGGAAAGCATCTTTGGTACTGTAGAGGTGATGTAGCAGAGGTCTATAAAGGACAGATTACTGAGGAAGAAATACATTGGTGTGTGGAGGTGGGAATCCATCCTTATTAAAGCAAGAAGGGACAGGTTCCAGGTCAGCGCTGTAATGTAAAATGTGAGGAATATAACAAAGAGCAGTGTTGTGATTTGGGGGAAATCTGAGAATCCCAAGAGGATGAACTGGGTGATCTTGGTAATATTTCTTCCCCCAATCATTACCTCTGTGCTCCTGTTCCTAAAATAAGAAAGAAAATAGGACAATGCATTGCAGACTCAAGTGACATTACGGTGTTATCTTAATAAGAGGCATTTTAAACTTGAATAACGTCTTAAAATGAGGCCTAAGAAATTATGTGATCTCACACACACATGAACATGTACACATATACACAAATAAGTATATACAAGAACCTGTGTATATATACACGTGCAAGTACTCACATACACAAACACAAAGACTTTGATCATATTGTCCTGATTTCTAATTCTGATACATTTTTGTAACACAGTAACTATGTTCCTAGTGAAGTTATGTAATCAGTCTTTCTACTAAAGTGTCATGTAAAGAACTCCAAAATAAATGTTAAGATATCATTTCCTGACATTATTTTAAAGTTCTATTACTGTTAAGAATTATTTGCCTTATTTATAATAATTTCAAAAAATAAATTCAATATAACATTTCCAAGGTGACCTGTATCATACTGTCATGATTTGCAATTCTGACAGATTTGTTGTCACAAAAGCTTATGTTCCCAGTAAATTTAAAAATTGGTCTTCTTATGGAAGTATTATATGTGGAATTTCAGAAGGAGGTGGGTAGTGGCCACTCTTGATCCCAAAAAAAGTTTCATTTGTATGTTCCTCTAGAATGCATGACAGTCGGGAGAATTGTATTGCTTTTGCAATTCAGTTCTATTTCCCTTACTCTGTATTAAACTATCCCACTGGCTTGAACACAATGACCCTGAAAACTTACTGTAAAGAGAGGACAGAAGTCCTTAGCTAGAAGGTAACTTCAAAACAAAGCATAAAGTAAAAACATGACCAGTGGAAGCCCTGGTTAAGAGAAGAAATAAAAACTCAACTGAAATATATGTTAATACTCACCAAATACACAAGGGCAGCGCACAACACCTATTCTGTGAAAGAGAACTTCTAAACTGACAAGAAATGAGCACCACAGCATGGATGAGTTCAAGGAATATGCTCCTTACTTTGTATACATTTGCCTTGTATAGTTACTCTCATGGATGTGGCCTATGTCTCTCTGTTTTTGGGTGTCTCTTTCTTTTTCTGTTTCACACTCACATTCATAGATAGATGCACAGGCACACTTATGCTCACACATATACACACACACACACACATGCAAACATATAAAGTATGAATCAGGTCTAAAGAAACTTATTTAAAACCAATTAAAAGTAGTCAAACAAAAAAGTAAGGGTGCTGTGATTTTTTTTTATTTTCTTACCTGAATTTTCCCAATTTTGTATATCTGCTGTATTTTAATAACAATTTAAGATTTATACTAATGCTAACACAAGGAGAGAGAACAGAGAGAGAGAGAGAGAGAGAGAGAGGTCATGACATACACTTACTGGCAGCAAATCCCTTCATCATGCTAACACTGTGCTGCCTCAGTAGTCTCATGTATAAGGGGGGATGATGAAACTGACCATCCTCTAGCACTGCTCAAGAGACTGAATGACATAAGGGGCTTACAGGCAGAGCTTCGTTAATGTTAGGAATTATTCCTCCTGCCATCACCTCCCTCTAAAATGCAGTCAATGGCAGAACAAAGATGATACATCAAGGACCTTTTGACAAAGTTAATTCCTCCAAAACTTGTCTGATCCAGATTTTAATAACGGTGTTGAGAAACAGTTATTAGAATATCTACTTCTGCCTAATATTCTCAAATGTCCACTCGCTCACATTGCAGGTTCTCATTGCTGCATTTGTTTTCCTCCACCAAGAGCTATCTAGACGACAGTGCTGTTGATGGAGGACTGGAGGAGACTTTCTCCTTAGTGTTAGGTGTTGCATTCACTCTCATCTGCATCCACCCACAAGTACAGGTGAATGTATTATCATCTGGTCCTATTTGACTTGGTATTTAAAACTCAAAATTTTACTTTTGCTTAATTTCTATTATAGTTTTATGAGCTTGGTCATCTTTCTGTTTATTCTTAGAATAAACAACGTTGTTTACCACTTCATCCAAGATGAGTTAAGTTTAATAAAAAGACATTTTAAAATTATAAACCCTCATGGGTAACATTGGTAAACATCATATTAATTGGCCAATTCTATAAAACGATTGAAATGTTGCCACTGTCTCATTGCATTCTGATGCTTATAGGCAGGCACACTTAGGTGTATTCTATGCAAGCCACTATTCCAAGTAAAGTCTGAAAATTATGGACCATTATTTTTTCTCTTAATATTTTTTCTAGACTAATTTATTTAAATGTTGTAACAGAGGAAAAACAAACATACTCACTCTTTTTTATTAGTGTTCTATAAGTGCCCTGCTTCTCCCAAGATATTTTAAAGTAGAAAAGTTATTAAAGATTCAACTGGATAAGTACAGCTTATCAATTCTGATCTAATAAGAACACGGCCAGTATAATGAAATGTGCTGGAAATAACAAGCTAAGTACATGTTGATGAGTGAGAAAAATGTGAGTAAAAGCAACTTAAGTGGACAGTTAGATCAACACTACCTGTGTCTGGAGTAGACCTGTCTGATAACTGCTCTGCTAAAACTAGTGTCTCTAGGACCACCAAAGGTGACCCTGGAGAACTATTTGAAGATGGTGAAATTTCTTGTGGAATCGTGCATGAGTATTCTGTCATATCAAAAGATCTGGTTTGTCTCTTACAACTAGAAATCATGAGCCAAAGCTGTGCATCTGTATAGAATATAATTCTAATCATATAACCCTGGGAAACAAAAACGCAGCAAAAAGAGTCTCAGGGAAGGCAGAGAGTTGAGCTATGTGGACAAGCATGCTCTGCTCTTAGGAAATCTGAAACTCTGTCCATTGTTATGTTTTTATTCAAATCTCAATTTGTGACTTTTAAAATCAGTGAAACCTTCTAGATAATCTCGTGTAGCCCTAGCTGCCCTCATTGTCTCCATTGTTCTAAGTAGAAAACAGAAAGCAGTAGAATTGAAGGTACCTACTCAAGCGTTCAACAACCATCTCTCCACCCCAGACACATGTCTGATATTTTAAACATAGGATATATTCTTTTCTCAGATCAGCATATAATTTGGGTAAATACAAAGGGAAACTGAAGGAAAATATGCAGGATGTAGAAGTTAGGAGAACGAGTAGGAGAAAAATGGGAAAGTCTAATCCCCATAAATATTATTAGCAGTGAATCCTGTTGCAAAAATGACAGACCTTAAGATAGCTAATTCTGTCTGCAATTCTTACCTTCTGCCCTTCACCCAGACTAGAGGAAGACAGAGTCCTTGCCAAATGTTGATACTGTGAATATTTCAAATAATTTTCCAGGTGAGGCACAAGTTTATTCCTAGCAAATGGTTTTGGACATTGACCTGGCTGTCTAGTGGTGAGATAGTGAGAAAGCAACACTGGGGAATCCTTTTAAATGTGCTGTTGAGAACCAAAGTGGAAGGGAAAAGCCAATTATGGAACACACTACAGACTCATGCTCTCTGGCATCATGGTTGTCATGGAGATTTTTCTAATAATTACCAGCCCAGTTTGCCTTGTGCATCATTTTTTAACTTCCCCTGTGTTCTATTATGACACCAGTTTGTAACTACCGACCTTGGAGGCATTTGATCTCCAAATGACACAGGGACCTTTCAGTCCCCAGATCTTAATTTCTAGAAGACAGTCTTGAGTTCAGAGATGTTAAGGGTGTCTCCCAAGATAGCACTGCTAGATGATAACATAACTTGATATTGATAAATATATATGCATACAATACAGAAAGCACTTTATTTTATACAGGTATGCACACAAGGTTTTTCTCAAATATCTGCTGTGAATCAATACAGCCGCACTAACAGACATGCAACCAACACATATTGAAGAAGTCAAGGCGGTAAGTTAACTTCCAGCTCATGACAAGAAACTGAAATTCAGGACAGAGAAGGTCCTATCCACATCACAACCCTGAGTATTGGTATCATAAAGTGAAAATTTCCCAGTGAAGACTGGCAAGATGCTTATTCACTGAGGGTGCTTGTATCAAGCTTATGACCTGAGTTTTTAAGCACATATGATGGGAAGAAATAACCGACTCCAAAAGTTAGTCCTCTGTCCTACACACACACACACACACACACACACACACACACACACGCACACACACACAGGCACACATGCACACACAGAGGTGGAGGGGGGCAGAGAGGGAGAGAAATACAAATTTAAAAATTTTGGCCTTTAAATTCTGGCTTTATCTCTAACTGGTTTGTGTTCTTGTATGCATTTCCCCAAACCACAGTATTTCCATACATTAAATGGCAATAACCATAATATCTACACCATAAAGGAGATCTGACGAGAATTAAGTTAGATAAAAATTATAAAATCTTTAAATTTCATAGTAGACATCAGCCCTTATATTTACTGATGGCATGTATTTAGAAGTGTGATTTGGAAATCTAACATTTGCCATAGGTCCAGTCTTCAAAAATAAACACTTCAAGAAAATCCTTTCATTAAGTAAGATATAAGAGCCAGAAGCAACGAATGATAACAGAAAAATAGTGTCTTCAGCAATTACACACAGGAACTCATGGGCAAATAAGACCCTATACACAAAACCTCTACCAGATCAAACCAGAAAAAAATCCCATCATGGATTTGGTTACTACCACAGGGAGGTAGTAATGAGGAGCTATTGATAGCTGATTCTCCCTAGAAAGGGATGGTTATTTGATTTCTCAAGGATGTGACCCCTGAGGGGCTACCATGATTTAATGGGTGGCTTATACTCATGCATTGGCAACACAAAGTGGACATAGTGGATTTCAAAAGGAATAAATAAAATGTAGCACGTATTGTGGTGAAAGAGATAAGGGAAAAATTAGAGGGGAAGGAATGAAGAGTGAACCTGATAAAATGCTTTATTTTACTTATTAAATTCTCAAATAATAATAAAATAAAGCATAGACTTAAGCTCCTGAGGACCATAGAGAGTCATGCACCTCCCATAGGTCCCAGACACATAAGAACCTCATGTATCTGTGCATCTTCCACAGGTTTCTGAGGATTTGTACC